AGTAGTGATTAGGTCAAATTAAAACTTTAAAATAATTAGAAATTAACCAGATAGGAAAGAATATGTATTAAAATCGACTAGAACAATTTGTCTTATAGCCTTTTTAGTTTGAAAATCACAAATGGTTTGGATAATACTATTTTTCAGTGGTATAATTTTCAAATGTTATTTAGCTTTAAAATTCAAATTAAAACGCCTTAGTAACGAATACATAAGCAGAACAGTTCATACATCGATTTTTACAAAATCCACAAAGATTTGTATTGTGGGAGTAAAACATACGTCATTATTTTTAATTAGTACTATAAGAATATGCCTATATTAATCACAAGAAGTCATTGTGGTTATGAGAAAGCACTAAAGATGAGAAGATCCATTGATATCTTCAGCTTCAAAAATTAAAGGATGACCATTCAAATTCGATATTTAAATAGATAAATAAACTTATCTATTTCAGGAAAGAAACTGTATCAATTCCTTTCACTCCTAAAGGATTGCACTGGGCGCCGTTAGACAAATCACATCTAATTTATTTTTTAATTGGTCCCATGTTTGTCGTTCACACTCGCTAACCCATTCTAAGAGGAAGGAGAGAGATCACTAAAAACTTATTTTTACTTTATTAAGCAGCCAATCAAATAAGAGATAGGATGTTGATTGGCTACTTGATTAGCTAATAAAATTTCCGTCCAGTCACTTCGTTATCGAGTTCAAGCAGGAATGACCGATACTTAAAAAATCAATTACTCTGAAAGAGCTTATTTATCTGAATCGGTAACAGTTCTAGTACAATTTTCGCCAGAATACAAATTTTTATTGTACTAAGAAGGTTGGTTGGCGGTATATTTATCAGTTAGGGGGCTCATTGAAGTTATGCTGGTAAGTTACTGAAGTTACTTTCAGTCATATCCAAACCTTTAGTTGAGCTTTAATTCATGGAAAAGTTTTCATTTACAGTCTAATGATTATCATGAAATGTACATCTTTGGCCTAAATTATTTCAAAAATTTTTTCCCACCTCGTTGTATTGTCGAAATTAAGTGAAACTGAACACTCCATCATCTACCATTAGAATAGTGCCGACCTATTAAATATTGTCTTTAGCACAAGCTCTAATTCCATATCATACAGCTCAAAAAATTGAACTTTAATATTTGTTATAAATGGAAAGATGCCAATTTTTTGCACATTGAACTCCGAGGCCCGTAATCTTGATAATGGTGAAAGATAAATAGCTTAATTGAGAAGTGATAATAATAATCTTAGGGCTCATTATAGTACAAACATTAATAATATCTTACTTTTACATTTATTGATTTCAAAACGAATTAAATTCTCCATACCATCCCACGCTTTTTTTAACTAGACCTTAAAATGTTATTGGTAAAAACAGTGGAAAGGGCTGAAAATGCCACCTAGAACACTGTGAATTGTAAGGCAAAAATAACTATTATGAGGCTTTTATTAACGAACACGGTACTTTGAATAGTGCTTTGTAAGCACGCTAATAGATCTCTTTCCCAGTCCTCATTTAACTGACAGAAAAGGGGGGCTTATAATTTTTTTTACGACAGCTTAATAAGTTGAGCACTTTACCCGCTTGATAAAATGCTCCCCAATTCATGTCTTGTGGAGTCTAGATTGTAATAAAGAGTGGAATTAAGAAATGATGACGGAAATTATTGATTTTTCGTTCGTTGTTTATTCATGGTAGTTAGGACAGGCTGTGACGGGCTGAACTTGGAAAAAAGGCAGTATTCCATATTTAATTAATTCTGGGGATCTTTATTGTAACTATAAGAAACATCTTTGCTAAAATAACATTGGAAACTATATAACTTTGCTAAATAATCAATAAGCTACTTGCACTGGGGATATGAACTCGTTTGAAATCGAAGGGATTATAATAAAAATAATGCGTAACCTTTCTTTAGCTGTTTAAAAATATGTGGTTAGAGTGAGCAAAATGAAGCACTTGTAGAATAGGCTTGATTTCCAGTGCAATCATTTTTCTAAATTTTATTCAGTTTTTCATCACTATTCTATAACAATGTGATTCATATGTCATTGAATCCCTACGGATTAGTCTTATGCCACAATATGAAAATGGGAGTAAGCTTACCAATTATTTTGGCAAGCATTCAGTGATTTCATCAAATATTTATGTTATCTGTTTTTGCCTTTTTCGTGTAATTATGTTTACATGTCAACATTGCTATCTTTAAAATGTTCATTAATCATCTCAATTTTTGCCCAATTTCTTCTCTTATGGGTTAACAGATAATAAGGTTCTGCTTCAATGAACTAGCCTGACAGTGGCCTTTGCTTTCCTGCCTCGTGATAGAAAGATTCATGCAGTTTGAAAGAACACCATCTTAATCAGTTTTCTCCAGCTTATGTGCAACTAAAAGCTTTACAGTAAACATTTGAATTGTCTCCATTATCTCGTTTAGCTTATTTCCAGAGAGGTAACAGAAAGCGATTGTAAGAAAATTTAATTTCTCAATTTGGCGATGTTGGTATAAACAAAAAAACTACAGGTCGGAGGATTAGCAGTCGCATGTCTAAAACCTGCAAATTCGACTTCTATCTCTCATAATTAATTAATTAATCGAAGATAGAATGTAATATACTGAGGACAGGTTCCGACTTCAATTACTCTGATTTAAGATGAGAAGGGGTAGACGGGGGGAGTAATTAAGCCTGATGCATTTCTAACTGCACGAATGTTTTATCAGTGAATGACAGTAATCACTGAGCTAAAATTGCGATTTAGTTGGACGAAGAACTCCCTACATTGGTGCTAGAACCGACTGATGGAATGCGCCGTGCACACAAATATATGATTAAGTTCTTGAAATATATCAAGGCAAAAGTAGATGAGGCAGATATGAAACGAAGTCTACAAAATAGCACTAAAGATTAAATTATGCAAGTACAAAACATCATCTCTTAACGATAAGTATCCTTTAGAGAAATTGGAATGCTCTGTTTTCGATGAAGAAATCACAAGCATCAATTAAACACTTGGAAATTGGCATTTGGAACTCACAGGTTTGATATTAACCGAAATAAGCGGATTAAAATGAGAGTGAAAAACAAGATTACTGCAGATATTGTTTCGAAAAAATATTATTTTATTAGCTAAGTATCAAAATATATCTAGTAATTAACTAGTAATTATTTTAACTCTGAGTACTTAATTAATCTTTCCATTTTGACGGCAAATGAACTAAATATCAGATAATAAGTGTATTTAAGCATAATCTAATTCAGTGTTCCATTAGTTACGTTTCCTGCTTGAAATTAATATCTATTAAAAAGTGAGATTTAAATGAATTAATTATCTGCCGTGCAATTGCCGCGCTGAGGAGAATTTGAAAAAAAATCGATATAGATCCAGCACCTTAGTGACACTAAACCAAAACGGAGATAGTGCTCTTAGTGGCGTAACCGTCTTAAATGTAAAATGTCTGATGTAGGTACCAAATTACACAAAAGATACTACTGTGTGCTTTTAAAGACGTCAATAATATTATTAATTCCTAGCTTTATAAAATATAAGCCCTAAATTCCTCTGTAATTTTTAAAACTTTAAGAAAAAAATTGAGCAGAAGTCTTTATCATACCAGGTGGTATTTAAATTTCTAAACTTCAGTAATTTCAGTTATTTTTAATTAATTTAATTATGATCCAAATTAGTGTCTAATGCATATAGCACTAAAGTTTTCCGTGTATGACAATAATTATTGACTAAATAAAGTCTTTAAAACCAATGCATTTTTATATTCATTTAAGAAAAATATGCTAAAAATCAATAAGTCTAGAAGTCAATACCTAAATAGAAATAACGTAAAATATTGTTTAAAGGAAGAAAAAACAACTGAAAGTTATAATCTCGAGGTAAAATAGTGAAACGTTGATTGCTCAATATTCGCTGTGATTGCATTGGAGTTAATTTTTGAAGTAATTGCATATTAGAAGTACCTAAGTTACGAAAACGAACCAAAAACAAGAAGCTTTTTGTTCCTTAGCGTCATGAGTCAAAGTCAACTTTGAAACAATTTGAATAAAAATTTAAAGTGCTCAAATGTTTACCTTGATTTTAAATCATCAGCAAATCTTTCAAGTAATAATACTGAATTGACTAATTTAGTTAGTTAGTTAAATTAATAAATCAAATTTAAGTTAAACTGATCATATAGCAAAAATAACAAAATGAATTTGTGCTAATTTACAGATTTATCGAATTTCATCTCGTGGTCATCAGGCGTGTTAATGCACCAAAACATACGCCAACTTACTCTCGTTAGGACTTCCTGTAGTTGAGTTCTGAGGTCCTCATTTTCAACATTCTTCTTATCCAATTCTGCTCTAAGACTTCCAATATCGTATTCCACGCTCATGACGTCTTGATGGATTTGACTTTGAAGAGTGAGTAATTGGGTCTTGAGATCAGCCACCCGGCAATTCAACGCTTTTACACTCCTTCACAAAAATAAGGTATAGATAAGACTGCGCATAGGCTAACGATATTTCATTAGACAATAGCCTTTGCACTTGCTAACCAATACGGCGGGTTCTCTTATCTAATTGGTTTATGGGAACACATGTTACAAATAACGCTTATGTAAATAATGGTCTCGATAACCAATAATAAAACAGGAAATAGTGATAGACAATAAAGGTACGTCAATGGACTTACTCCATGGTTTCCTGAAGAATTTGACTGAGGATTTTACACTGAAAGCAGTCCTCATTAGAAGAACCCATTTTAAAAGTTGAAAACTTTATTGAAATGTTAATGGAAGACTCGAACAGATTTTGCTATGCCTATTTTACTCAAAAGCTAGTTCAAATCGGATTTGCCAGTGAGTGTTTAACTTTCGACTAAGAAAGATGATCCGTTAACTGCGCACAAATTCAGGCCATCCAATCATTTTGTCGGTGTTAAAAACGACTTCCATTTCTTTGATTCATAAATTCGTAATTAAGATGGCTAAGTCGTCATTTTCAACATTAATAAATTGCAAAAATTCAAATAAAATATTGATTTATCTTCTAATGGCTTTACAGTGAATCCGTCATATTAAAGTCAGGTGAGAAGGTACTCTGACAAATCAGCTTGGTGTTCATTTGGTTTTCTAAGTATTACTCATTTTATTCAACCTCTTTTTTGCCATAGAATGAATCTAAAATATGAAATTGTTCCTTTATTTCACCGAATTATTCCCGTAGTCTTGTTCTTGCTGGTACTCACCTCACAATTTTTCATTTTGTATTCAAGTACTCGGTAACCCGTGGAAGACACTACGCCCATTTGAATTTTTTGATTTTACTAGGGAAAAAATTCCTCATATTAAAATTATATTCATTTACTTTAGGGTTGAAAATTAATTATTTTTTCCACTCCGTAATGTGATGCTAATTAAGTGGAATACTATTACCTGGCTGTTGTGAAACACATTTCCATAATCTTCACTAAAGTCGATGATGGTATTTCATGTTTATTGTTTATTGCAATTTGCAAGACAAACTCTGTACAAATTTTACCCATTGATCTCCATTAATTTGGATTGCTTTCCATTGTTCAAATCTGTCTGACTATTTTGTGCCCTTTTCGCAAAAGGTTAGTCTCTATTTCATTTCCAAATCTCTTTGCTGTCTATCGATTTTTCCTCGCTATGGTTCACCTAACCTTTCCTCTCGGTGACTTTCTCTACTTTCATCTCAGTTTTACCCCCTTAATGTTCTTGTAATAGGTTCACGAAACTAATCTCCATTAGAATCTAGCACTTTTTAATATTTACCTTTTATAACCTTTTAATATGGCCCTTACTGTAATGAGCAAACAAGTGACAATGAAGTGGTAAACAAATAATGAGCTCAAATGTGAAGTCACTTTGGTTGAAAATCACCCGACGAATTGTCAAATAGCACGTTCTGGTCAATTTTTTTAGAATTTAACCCTAAAACTAGTCATCATGCACTTTTATAAGCAATTTTACACTCAATACTCAATCGTTGCAGAATGTAGATTGTTGATAGCGCAGTCCTTACCTTAAGCGATTTTTCTCAATCAAAAATGGGAATACTTTTGCTCTGTGTTAGAGTCTACATTAATTGATTCCTCTGTAGCGTTACTGTCTCGGTGGAGTGAGTACACCCTGCTTTTCAACGCCAATATGCAAATTTGCACATGATTCACCTCTGCACACACACACATAATTGTTGCTTCACTAAAAGACCCACGATCAACTTCTTTTTTGCACAAGAATGCAGAAAAAACGTGTAAGCCTGATGTCATATTCGTCTCGCACTGGTGCGCAGGCAACAGAACTTACTGAATCATGCTTTTACCAACTTTTAGCAAATATTTTGGTCTTCATGATGGAATCTATGAAGGATGTAAAAATAACCAAGAATAATTACTATTGGTCCTGTATTTTTATTCTCGTCCAATTATTAATGAAATTGGCCAAAATTACCCTTCATAAGCTAAACCAATTATCTGCCTTAGGCGGTAAATGTATTGAAACAAAGCTGTGTGCGCAAGCAAGGATTAAAAGTATTAGAAAGTAGTGCGATTCCAGCCAGTAAGGACACACTAGCCAACAAATTGAGCAAATTATTCAACACTGGATGAAAATGACTAATGGGAAGATAACACCAACTTCATATTCCATACAGTGGGGGGGGGGGGGGGGGGGGGAGGGGAGAGATAGAAAGTAATGGCCTAATTGTCACTTGTTCTTAATTCTGTTTTCTGTAATGCTTTTTCGTACATCTTGACAAGTGACCTATACTTATAGACCAATTTTTTTTGCATTCTATATTGCCTTACCACGGGGTTCGCGATAGACTTACCCCATGTAGTGCACCATGGGCAACGTATACTCATACATAAAGTCTACTTACTGACAGTTGATTTCAAACTGCCATGACCCCACTGTATGACATATTCCACCATTATCACAGTAATCACCTTACCTTACCTTTTTCCCCACCTTTGTCTCTCTTTTACATCTGTGAATCACTCTTCTATTCCCCCTCC